ACCTGATTCCCCAATGATTCCAACAGTTTCTCCAACTTTTATTTGAAAATCCATTTTCTTCAATATTGGAACTGTTGGCTTGGAAGGATACGAGAAATTGACTTCGTTAAACCTAATGATTGTGCAATCATGTTTAATGCTATTAAATTCAGGTTTTGATTTCCCTGAAAATTCTGTAACTGACAGTTCCAAAGATAACAATTTAATCAAATGACTTCCTGCTCGTTTACCCCTAGCAACATCAGGAACTTGATTAATCAACTGAGAGGCACTCATAATGGTAAATAAGAGCAATGTATAGATTTTCATCAACTGTGAAGATGAATATTCTCCCAAACCAACTAACCTCATCCCGTAGTATAATAAGATGGATTGAGCCAGATAGCATAATAACACAAAAACCGAAACTCCAAATCCAGTACCAATTGCTCTTCTATTTCCGGTTTTAGCCAACTCGAAGAACCTTTCATCAAACTTAGCCCAAAAATAAGAGTTCAATCGAAGACATTTGATAGTTTTAACACCAACAATTGTTTCATGCATGAGATTTTCTAATGCAGCTATTGCAGATTTGTACTTATTCTCTGCTGACAGTAAAATACCTCCATAGCACAAAGTGATTAAGATAAACGTTGGTATCAATGAAATTCCAACAAGTGATAGCTTCCAACCTTCTACAATTGACCAGATTAGACCTAGTAATGTCATAACTACAACAGTTACGGAAATGTTCAAAAATTCGGAAATCAAGTTTCTCAAATCTCTTGCATCATTTAATACTAAGGCAGAGATTTCGGCCGGTTTGGTCAGTTGTTGCGAGAACCAAGTTAGGTCCTGTTGTAATAACTTCTCATAGACTTCGTTTCTTATTTGAAATATCCAATTTTCCGTTGCAATACCTAACAAAAATCTTTTCAAAAAAGAAGTTAAGCCATCAAGAACAGCAAATAATACAACTATTAAAGCCCATTTTAATAAGTACAGGCTGTCATAGTTATTCCCACTTGTTGGAATAATCCCAACTAGTAACCGGCTAAAAGCCCAGGAAAACATAGGATTTATTACACCATTAGCTATAGAGAACAAGATTCCAAGGAAAATGAGTCCTTTTGACTTTATGCGTTTATTCATAAATTTGAAAATTTCTAATAAACTCATCAAGTTTTCTTTGTTTTCTTCGTTTGCTTCTGATTCATTGCAGATTTTAACTTCTTGTGTATTATTGAGGATAGTTTTATTTTTTTGCTTCATTGATCTAGCAAATGTAGGCTCAAGTTGTTGATTAGTCATTTTTAGAGCCAATTTTTCAATATCATATGAATCATCCTGAGTTTCGTGGTTCAGTGTTGAAGCAAAAAATGAATTTGAAGCTCTCAAAATGCTTGATGACAATCTTCTTCCTACGGTAGTCAAAATGAATTCTTTTTCTTTATTGTATATTTCATCATTTTCAATTTCAATTGTATTAATTGCAGTGGTCCTACTATTGTAAATCTTTAAGGACTCTGTATCACAGAATGGATTTTCATTTTTGTTTTGAACTTGCTCTGAAGGTGAAGCAAGAGTCTCATATTCGCTTTCATTATAATAAAGTTCACTCTTGTATTCATCTTCAAAAGGATTTTCCATTTCATTATTTTCATTATTTTCATTATTTTCATTATTTTCATTGCTGACCACATTTTGTTGTTCACAATTTGAAAGTTTGTTAAACTCTCCATTATCATAACAAGATAATTCTTTTTTGTATCCGGATTCAATAACAGATCCATTTTCCATCACATAAATATAATCATCATCATCTATCTGGGAATATTCATGAGTCATTATGATTGTAGTTTTACCCCTTCTCCAAGCCTTAACAGCTTTAACCAATAATTCTCTAGAAGCAATATCCAAAGCACTAACAAACTCGTCAAGTATTAATATCGGAGTATCTCTTATTCTGGCTCTAGCTAAAGCGATTCTTTGCTGTTGACCATTGCTAAGTGTAACTCCAGTATTTACACCAATTTCTGTATTTAAACCTTCAGGAAAATCGTTAATCATTTTTTGTAATAAACACATTTGAATAGCTTCGTCTAATGTACTTTCTGGTACTTTATTAATTTCTTGTCTTGAAGCAAGCCCTAAAGCAATATTATTTTTAATTGTATCTTTGAATAAAGTGACATCTTGTTGAACTAATGTAATAAAATCAGAAATCCAATCTGAATCTAAATATTTAATGTTAAAACCACCTATAAAGATATTACCTGTTTGTAATTTATAAAATTTCATTAATAGTGATGCCAATGTTGATTTCCCTGATCCTGATTTACCAACAATAAAAGTTGTTTGATTTTCTTGTATAAAGATGTTTAAATTTTTTAAAACCATTACTTCTGGTCTTGATTCATATGAAAAATTAATATCTTCAAAAATAATATTAAATTCAACTTGTCTTGGGTATAATGAAATTGTATCTTTTATATTTCCATGTTGTGATGAATTCAAATTTTCAATTCCAATAAATTTAACAATTTTCTTTAAAGCAATGTTTGCTTTTTGGAAAATTAATAATTGTTCTGTGATTCCATTAAAAGTTTCTGCAATCATTAAACAACAAGTAAAACATGTTAATACGGTTCCACTTGATAATTTTTTATTGTTAACTAAATATGATCCATACCAAAAACCTTGGACAAACATTGTTAAAAGTAATGCTCTCAAGATACCTAAATTTAATGAAGAATATAAACATAATTTTTCAAATTCTTTTTTAGAATTTCCATTTGAAATAATAAATTTTTGCAATTCTTTACTTTCTGTACCAAAAATTTTGATTATCTTTGGAGATGTTAAATATTTATCTAAAATCTTTGCTGAATTTGTTGTTTGTAAATTTTCTAAAACTGTATGTTTTTCTATTAATCTAGTGAAAAAATAAGCAATAAAAGAAATCAAAGGGGTTGAACTTAATATTATCAAGGTTAATGACCAAGAATATATAAAACTTGTTAAAATCAATGCAATTATTGAAAAGATGCATTGTAAACACAATGCACTGCATTCACTAAGTCCACATCTTAATTCTTCAAAACATCTATTAACTTGAACAATATCACCATTTAATTCTAAATTTTCTTCAAACCAAGAGATTTTTTTTTTGAAAAAAGATGCATATAATAATTTTCTTGCTCTTCTTTGTTGAATTTCACCTAATTTCATCCATTGAGTAATCATTATCCAAGAAAAAATCAAAGTAAGAGCACCTAATGCCAAAATACTGAAACAATTAAGTCTCAAATGATTTATAAAATCTCCAAAAGTATCATATTCCCCATCTACATAACTGGATAAAACACCAAATACTTTCCCCAACAATATGGTCATAGCAGTAGGAGATAGTGAAGCTATAATGGTAACAACCAAGCAACATCCTAACAACAACAAGTCTTTTTTCAAATCAAGAAACATATACATATGAATCCTAAAACTTTTTGCCATGTTTTCTTCAACATCATCACCCAAAGCACTCATTTCATTGCTAAAGTTCTTACAAGGCTGCATCACGAACTTAAAGTAAAATGGAAAAGCAAAAAAAAGAAAAAAAGAATTTTTGAATAAAAAACCTGCAATCTTCCATATATATATATATATATATATATATATATAGGGTTTTCTTTTAGCAAAGTCCAAGTTTTAAAAGAGCCTCAAAACATTTTTTTCATAAAAAATCAATACCAGATTAACAAATTGAATGCCTCAATAAAAAAGAAAAAGAACATAATTCACAAACTCATCTATATTCCAAATGAATAATACCCATTCCATTATTACCAAATCGGGAAAAGACAATGCAACTTAGAAGCAGGACCAAATTATTTTTCGTTTTTTAATAATAAAAACAGCCGCACGATTTAAAAACAAAAAACAAAAAAACATGCATAACAAAGGTCGTGCACGTTTGGTAAGAAGCAAGTGGTTAATTATCACATGCTTCGGGGAGTGATTGAAATCAAGTACCTTTTCCCCATGGTATAACCAACCCGAGTTGTTGGGGAGAAATTGTAAAGTTGGTTATTTATATATATATATATATATATATATAACTAAAATTTCAAGGATTTTTTTTTATTTATTTATTTTATTTTTCTTTGGTTTGATTTGCTTTGTTGAAAATGGATCAATTTAAAATGGATCAATTTAAAATTGAAGAATTGGTTTCTGCGGCTAATAAATTTTTCTTTGAATTGATAAATGATATTGATTTTACTAATAGAAATTTACAGAGTAAGTATTAAAGAAAAATAAAAAAAAATTTTCTTTTTCTTTTGTTGTTTTAAAACTAACTAGAAATTTTTTCTGTGTGTTTTATTTAGTTGCTATTGGTTTAATCTTATTCAATCCTATTTACTGGAATATAATGGCAAGATTAGAACACAAGACACATTTTTTAACCAAAATTTTTGGATCAGCTAAAAATGGATGTTATTTTTTAGCTTTTACAATTTTCAGTTTAGGTTTAATTAGAGATGATTTTTATAATAAAGCTTTAAGTGAACAACCAACATTTTCATTATTTTTACAACCAGAGTATGAAAATTTAATTAAATCTTTAGGGTTAATAATATTTTCTATTGGAAGTATATTAGTTGTTTCTTCAATGTATAAATTAGGTATTACAGGTACTTATCTTGGAGATTATTTTGGAATATTAATGTCAAAAAGAGTCGTAAGTTTCCCATTTAACGTTTGCAGTAATCCAATGTATAATGGTTCTTCATTATGTTTTTTAGGAACTGCTTTATGGTATGGTAAACCTGCTGGATTATTGGCAACTCTTGTTGTCTTTTCACAATACCAATTAGCTTTATTATTTGAAGAACCTTATACTGCAAAAATCTATGCTGATAAGGAAGCTACTAAAAAAAGATAAATAGCAACCTAACTAAATAGAATAAATAAAAAAAGTATCTTTTGAAAATTTTAATTTTTTTAATTTTTTAATTTTTTTTTGCCTCTTGTCGGAATCGAACCGACGATCGCCTCATTACGAGTGAGGTGCCTTACCACTGGGCCAAAGAGGCAAACACAATGCGATAAAAATCAAAATTTGCTTCAAGATTGGCCCTGAATCAAATAGGATAAAAAATAACTATAATTATTTATATATTTAATTTTAAAACAATTTTGTATTTAGCAATTAAATTAAAAACCATTAAGACAATCAAATAAATTAAGCAAAAATAAAAAAATTGTTACAAAATAAATTAATTCTATTAATAAAGAAAGAAAGAGAAAAAAAAATTAAAAACTCAAATTGGCAATTTTTTTTTTTTTTGCTTCAAAAATTTTTGATTTTTCAATTAACCGCCCTTAACTAGACTTCTTTCCGATAATATTATTTAGTTAAAAGTTATAGAGAATGAGATAGATATTATTAGATATATATTTTATTAATAAAAGCAAAAAAAAAATTTTTTGAAATGATATTTGAAAAACATCACTTATATGGGGGTGCTATTACAGCAGAGTTACCAAAAAATTTAGTTGATGCATCACAATTAAGACAAATACCAGATACTCAAGAAGTTTTTTTAGTTGCAGATTCAAATACATTAAATTATTCAGAATTAAATAAAGATGATTCAATTGTTATAGATTTAATGGAAAGAGTAATTGTTGATCCAGGTAAGGATGATATTGAATCAATTTATACACATGCTAAGGAAATTTCAAGTTTAAACAATAATGGAGGAGAAAATGAATGGAAATTACAAAAAATAGAAAATTTTAAATCACAAAATTTCCCGTAAGTATAATATAAAAAAAAAACGCTTGATTTTACATGTATATAGTACTAATTAATTTTTTTTTTCATTATTTAGAAATGATAATATCTTTACTGCAGTTTGTATTGAGCCAGCTAAAAAATGGGGGCGTACAACTAAGGGATCAAATCAACCAACATTAGTTATATTATTAGGATTAATCAGAATTGAAAAAATTTCAACTGATTTATTATGTACCATAAATGTCCCCATAGTAAGTGAAGAAGAATTAGACGATTTATTTACATTAGATCAAGGAGATAATGAGAATCATAACAAGGCATCACAAAGAATTAATTTAGCTTCAAAAGTTTTAAACCATTTTTTACAATCAGTTAAAATCGAAGATTGGTCAATATTTACTAATTAACTAATACAAAAAGGTAGTTCAAGAGATGGTGCAGGATGTACAGATAGCTAAGGTAGTTCAGATTTTACAAAAAGGTAAAAAGTAGTGCACTATAAAAGGTAGTGAGCTCATAACAAAAAAATGCATCTCGAAGGTAGTGTAAAAAATACATATTTGATTACGTCATTCATTCAGCCCCTAAAAATTTAATTATTTTCTTCAAAACAAAAGTCGTGCTTGAAATATGCAAATGTCCAATTCGGGTAATTTTTTTATTCTGTTAATTTTTTTTTGGAATTTTTTTTTTTTCACCATAATAATTAATACCTTTAAACTAATATAATTAATACTTCACTTTTTATCTATAATTAATTAATTAATTATATGTGGTGAAATCTAATCAATTAAAATTTTTTTTCTTTTTTCTTTTTTTTTTTATTGTTAATTGTTTGTAGATTGGTTGAGTTGATTGCTAGTGAATTTCTACTTCATTTGGTTATTGGGGAGTTTTTTTTTCTTTTATTTTTTTATTTTTTTATTTTTTTATTTTTTTATTTAAATGGAAAATTTCATTTTTGATTTTACGAATTTCATAAAGTTTTCAACTATATTAAAAGTTTATTAAAATTCAAATAGAGATAGATTTAATTCGGTTGAAGTATAAACCTTTTTTTTCATTTTTTTTTTTGGTTTTTTTTGGAGAATATTATGAAACCTGTGACGTTGAGGAAATTGCTTCTTATAGCAGTTTCTATTATTATTGTGATAACAACAGTTATTAAAATTACTTCTAATAAATCTTCGGATTTACAAGAAGTTTTAAAGCAAAGTGCTAATATTATACCTCCAGATTTTATAAATAGTAATAATGCTAAAAAGCAACAAGAAGAATTTACTCAAAAATTAGAAAAAATAACAGAAGATTTATTAAAACAACAAGATGAAAGATTAAGTAAATTAGAAAAAGAAAGACAAAAATTAGAAAAACAATTAAAAGAATTAAGAAGACCTCCACTGGGTTCAACATTAAGAGAAACTTTAGCATTTTTATTTCCTTATGATCAAAATAAAAAATTTCCTGCTTATATTTGGCAATCTTGGAAATATGGATTAAATGATGAAAGATTTGGTGAAAAATTTAAAGAAGGTGAAACTCAATGGGCTTTAAAAAATCCAGGTTTTGTACATGAATTATTTAATGATGATACTGCAAGTGCTATAATTCATTATTTATATATGCAAATTCCAGATGTTGTTAAAGCTTATGAATTATTACCAGATATTATTTTAAAAATGGATTTTTTCCGTTATTTAATTTTATTTGCAAAAGGTGGTGTTTATCTGGATGTTGATACTTTACCTTTACAACCAGTACCAAATTGGATTCCTGAAAATGTTGCTCCATCAGAGATTGGAATGATTATTGGAATTTCTTCAGATCCAGATTCTCCAGATTGGAGACAACATTATGCAAGAAGACTTCAATTTGCAAATTGGGTTTTACAATCTAAACCAGGTCATCCAATATTAAGAGAAATCGTGGCAAAAGTAACTGAACTCACTTTGAAAAAAGCAGAAAATAATGATTTAAAATTATCTCAAACAAATGATCCTTCAAAAACAACAAGAACTAAAAATTTGGATATAATGGAATGGACAGGCGCTGGTGTTTGGACAGATGTTATCTTTACTTATTTTAATGATTATGTTCAAAGTGGTATTTATTCAAAAGTAACATGGAAAGATTTTACCAAATTAGATGTTCCAAAATTAGTCAGTGATGTTTTAATCTTACCAATTACAAGTTTCTCTCCAGGAATTGGTACTATGGGTTCTCAAAATGATGATCATCCATTAGCATTTGTTAAACACTATTTTGAAAATGTTTGGAAAGGTAACAGCTAAATATTTTTAATTTTAATTCTTTATTTCTTTGCTTTCAATTCTTTTTAACCTTTTTTTTTGTTCTTGATTATTCTTCTTTTATTCTTTACTCTTTTTTCTTTTATTTAAAGAAAGAAAAAAAAGGAAAACCAAAATTGAGTTTAATAAAAATAAATTGTCTTGACTATATATATATATACATATATATATATATATATATATTTATATAATAATTACAAACTAAAGTTTATTTAGAGTCTCTAGCGTACTGGTCTTTTGCGTTTACTTCTACCAACAACTATGTCCTCTTTTTTAAGTATTTCATCACTGGTATTAGAGTCAACATATCTATTCGATTCATTTTTTTCAACAATCAGTGTTAATGATGATATTGGAACTACAGAATTTTTATTAATGAGAGTTTCCAGATTTTCATCTATTTCTTTATTTTGTATCATATGTTCGTAATTAGTTGTTCGCACTGATGAGGTTTGTGGTTTTACTAATTCTTTGCTCCGTTGGTTGTTGGTTTCCTTTTTTTTGTTATCACTATCTTTATTAAGGTTTTTGATTTGTTGATGAGAGGTTAATGAATATAAAGGTTTTGTTAAAGTTGTTATAGAAGATGGGCTAATTTCAAAATTTGTCTGTTGTTTATCTTGATCTTTATCTTCATCATCTTTTCGTGTTTGTCCATCTTTTAACTCATTATACCTATCATCAGCTTTCAAATCCGGTTCATTATCATTATCAATTTTCTCAACATAGTTTCCTTTCTTTGAAGAAAATCCCGATTCCGCATCGATAATTTCTTCCAATTTTCTTCTCTCTTTATCCAACTTGTCAACTATATCACGATATGTTTGTAATTTACTATTCAACTTCTTTAATTGGTTCCTCTTATTATGTACATTATACTTATGATCTTTCACCGATTTGATTCTAATTTCTTTATTACACTCTTTACAAAAGTAACTATGCTGTTTCTCTGACAGTGACATTCTTGATCAACCTTACAATTAAAACCACCAAATAATAATAATAATAATAAAAAAACAAAAAAAAACAACAAAAGTTCTAAAACCAAGAACCTCTACTGAGAGATTGATATGATATTCCCGAGAATTGATGTTTTTTATCAAATGTTGTTGGTAATTAATAACCGTCTATTATTACCACAGAACAAATAATAATAATAATAATAATAATAATAATAATAATAAAAATATAAAAATAAAATAAATTTGTAAAAATTGATTATCGTTTAAAATGTTCAACGACGAGAGATCAAATAACTACAAACAACGAATGAATAATGAATAACGAATAACGAACAACAGACAAGAAGACAATCCTTATGATTTTAATTCAGTCTATTTTCAAAAATTAATATTAAACAAAAAAAAAAAAATGCTTTCTTTCTTCAATTTCATTAAAGATTTGGTGTAAAAATTAATTTGGATATTTAAAATTTTGTTGAAATGGCATAATAAGGTAAAGAACATATAAGAATTGATCCATCTGTGGTAAGAACTTAGCCTTGGTTTTTTTTCAAAAAAAAAAAATTCTATCTAACTATATAATGGGATCATTCAAATGGAATGAATTTGTGTGTTGAGAATATTGTGAAATATAATCATTCATTGGAAAACAATGATGACAAACAAATCAACCCAATTAAGATGTATTTAAAGTAAATATTTTCTGAAATCAAAATGGTCACGTATCCGGCCAAAGGTATATAACCTTTAACTGAACCAATAAGATCATTATCCCGATCTATATACATTTGTTTGTATCCATATAAGGGTAAATCATCAGAAGGGTTATTATCACCTTTAGTCAATATTTTTTGACTTGGTTTTAATTCTTTAATTTTTTTATTTTTTGGAATTTTAAGATTTGAATTTTTATCTTTCTTTAATCCTTGTTTCTTATTAAATTTTTCAATTTCTTCATCTGTAGGAATTACCTTATGCTCTCTCAAGACTCTATGAACAATTGGAATATCTCTATGATCCAT